CAGGTGGATTGCCTGTTCGAGACCAGCCTGGGCAACACAGTGAAACCCTATCTCTACTAAAATACAAAAAAATTAGCCAGGTGTGGCAGCGGGCACCTTTAATCCCAGCTACTCGGGAGGCTGAGGCAGGAGAATCACTTGAACCCAGGAGGCAGAGGCTGCAGTGAGCTGAGATTGCACTACTGCACTTCAGCCTGGGTGACAGAGCGAGATTCCGTCTCAAAAGAAAACAAAAACAAAACAAAACAAAAAACACGTGGGGCTAAAGGCGCCAGCTGCCAGCCTAGGAGAAACAGACTATGTTGGAGTTTCAACCAGTTAGCCCCAAAGCCACCTACGATCTGCCCCATCTTCTGTGGGCATGGGCAGTGAGGTGGTATGTGTGCCAGGCACTGCCTTCATCTGATCTGCATGGAGACACTGGCCCTGAAGGCCTAACAATCTCACTGCTGCAGTCCCCGTGTTACCATAGCAATTGGAGGATGGCAGGGCTGGGGCTGTCCTAGAGATGGAGGTGTTGAATGTTCCTCCAAGGTTCTGTGAAGGGCCCTGGCAGTTTCTGCCAGGGCACTAAGGGAGGGAAGTGTAGCTCCTTTCCATGCTCCCCCTGTGCCTCCCTGGGGTTCCTGCAGCCAGCTCCACTTCAGCATAGTTCCTGCATGCTGCACCCCTCCTCATTCCCAAGACCCCGCCCACAGCTACGTGACTCTCCTAGCCAGCTCGGGATAGTACAAAAATAAACTCCTATTTTGCTCAGGCAAAAACCAGACATCTCTGCATTTCCAGACAATTAAAAGCAGACTCCAGAGGCACAGCTGTCTCCCTCCACTCTGACTCATGAGCGAGGCCCCACAGCACAGCCACGTGCAGGAACGTGCTCCCAACCTGGAGGCAGGGGTGGGAAAGGGGGTCAAGGGTTGCCCATGTGTCCTCCCATCCCAAAGGGGCATCTGCACCTCCCATCTTTTGGGGCGTCATTCAGAGTTGTGCTGCATTTCTGCCTCCAGGAATGTCCCTCTCCTGAAGAGTGGGGTCCCGGGACATCAGGTGGGGTTCTGGGGATGGCTAAAGTCCACTGAAACCAGGCAGATGGCACCGCCTTCCCGGGGGCGCTGTTTTACCATGGCAGCCCAGCAGGCCAGAGTCCCTGCTGGAGAGTCTCGGTGGGCAAGGGCAAGGTGGAGACAGGGCTCTTCATGGGGCTGCCCATGGGCCGAGATGCGCTCAAGGTCTCTGCTTCTCAGAGAACAGCTGCCAGCTAGGCTGAAGCCAGCCAGTCACTTTAAGGCCACCTGTCTTAGGGTTATTTCCTGAGGCGGTCACCAGCACCTCTGCTTCTGGACTACGGAGAGGCTGAATGGGCTAAGAGGGGGGTCAAAGAGGTCCACCCCCGATGGCGACAGCAACGCACACACGACTCCCAGGTGGTAGAGGGGATGGAAATGAATCGCTCTTACCAAACCTAGAGGAGACAAAAAGCAGAGAGGGGGATTACGTCACCATGCTGGCTCGGCGCGTTCCTAGAACATTACCTTTGGGCGGGAGCAGGCAAGGGGCTGGGATGCAGGACTTTGAGGCCTGGCTTGAGGCCAGGCTGTGGCTGAGTGACTGTGGGAACCCCTGCAATCTCTGTGGGGACATTTCCTCAATGGAAAGGACTAGAAGGGCATTCCCCGGGCCTCCCCAGGGGACATTGAAACTCAGTGCTGTGCACTTTAATACATTAGCTTACATAAGCCTCGCCAGCAACCAAGCATGGTAATTAGAGTTCAGCCCATTTCACAGCCAAGAAAACTGAGCCTCAGGGGGCTGGCTGAGTAGGTCACATGGCTCACAGTGGGAGAGCCTGGCCCAGAGCCAGGCAAGAAAAGGGGTAAATCAGCTGGAGAGACCAGGCCTGGTGGCTCATGCCTGTAATCCCAGCACTTTGAGAAGCCGACACAAGTGGATCACCTAGGTCAGGAATTCAAGATCAGCCTGGCCAATGTGATGAAACCTTGTGTCTATTAAAAATACAAAAATTAGCCAGGTGTGGTGACGCATGCCTGTAATCCCAGGTACTCGGGAGGCTGAGGCATGAGAATCGCTTGAACCCGGGAGGCGGAGGTTGCAGTGAGCTGAGATTGCACCACTGCACTCCAGCCTCGGCAGCAGAGCGAGACTCCTTCTCAGAAAAAGAAAAAAAAATTATCAGTTGGAGAGGGTGTGGCTGGACAGGAAGGCAGAGATAACAGCCATGCAGAGCAGAGGTAGCCCCTGAAAGGAGAGTCACGCAGGGACACACCCTGAGCCTCCCCAGGGGGCTGCCACTGCTCCCAAGAACACATGGAGCCGGAGGAAACAGAGCACTCAGGGGTCACCAGAACAGCGAGGTGGCCTGAGCGTCACGTCAGTGCTGGTTCTGGTAACTCTGCAGGGACTGGACTCAGAATCCCAGGGTCTGAGGCTTAGTCACTGGCTGGAGTTTGAGGCTAGTTGTATCATCTGCCTGAGGCTGTGTCCCTGCCACCTTCTAGCATGTGAATGAGACCAGAGCTTTCCTAATGTTCTTCTTGGGAGAAGACAGAAACAGAGGGACTGGGTTGAGCCCACTGTGAGATGTCCTCTGACCCATGTTCGTGTGGCCATCACCACTGCATTCTACAGCCCCTTCTGGGGGGGACCCAGGCCCCAGCAGGACAGCCCAAGAGGGAACAGCAGGGTCAGTGACACCTGGATCTCTCCTCCTTGGGTGGCACATTCAAACCCATCGGAGCTGTCCAGGCTCCATCCCATAAAGGACCTGAACAGCATGCACTGGGAGAGGGGATCAGGCCCATTCCAAAGACGACTCCAAGGCCCAAGATACACCAGAGCCCAAGGAACCCCCTAGAAAATGGGTGCCCTTGTCGCTTCTTTACCTTTTGGTTAAGATCAAGTGTAGAAAAGTGGTGCCCAGGCTGAGGAGAGAAACCAGGTGCCCCAATCCTCAGGGGTACAAGAAGGTAAGAGGCACCCAAGGAGAACTCTCCCTTTCTTTCTGTGCTGCCCACAAGGGTATATTGACAAGGGCAATCTTTGTAATAAAAAAGACTATAATCTAATGCCCATCAAGAAGCGGACAAGATAAACTATACAATGAAATAATATGAACAAGTCGAACAAATGGGGTTTAAATAATTATAGACATACACAAAACTGCTAGCCTGGTTGGCTCCTGAAAGGGGAACCACGTGACTGAATACAAATGGTGGGGTAGAGTTTTCACCGCGTACCCTGAGAAGCCACAGAGCTGCTGCACTTTGGATCGTGTGACTGTCTCACTTGTTCAAAATCCATAGATAGAAAAAACTTTTAAGTCAAAAACTAAACAAAAGAGTAAAATATTCCAAGATGTACTGACATGATGTTCCCAGAGATACCAAGGGAAGTTGAAAAAACAAGTCAAGGGACAGAGTAGATGGTATGGTATCTGATAGTCACTAGTGGTTTCCACCAAATATTCCAGTTCTCTCCTCCTGGGCGTGTGGGCAAAGAGCACAGTTTCATTCTCCTGTTCAGGTTGGGCCAGGAATGGTGAGTGGAACTTCCAAGAAAGAGTACTCAATTGCCAGGGCATGACATCTGGAACTCACTTTTCCCCCTGCCACCGTGGCCAGCAATGCTCAGACAGTCTGGGCCCGGAAGGAGGCTGACCCATGATGGACAAGATGGACAAGGCGGCATAAGCAAGAAACAAATCTTTGTTCCTTTAAGACCTGGCAATTTGGGGATATCTGTTATTTCCGTGTAACCCGGCCTACCCTGACCCATACGTGGCATCACGTCATGTGCACGCACGTGTGCATACAGAACCAAATCTAGAAGGATTCAGGCCACACCGCTGAAGCAGTCTGAGGAATGGACTGAAAGATGGGGGTACCTTTTACTTTTGACTTTACATGCTTCTATAGGGGTTGATTTTATTGGTCCTTCCATGTATCTTTATAATTAGAAAACCACAGAGGGCACTTCTGGTAGCTGCCCAGAAGGAGCACTCACCTCATCGAGGAGACCTCGTCAATGCGGTTCCCCAGCTGAGACTCGTGGGACTTACTCCGGGTGAGCGTGGGGAAGCTGGGCAGCAGCTGGAAGACCTTGCGGCTGGGTGGGGGGGGCGTCCGCGGTGGCTTCAGCTTGGTGTGCCGTCGCAGCTGGGGTGTGGTGGGTGGGGTGATGAAGCTGTGCAGGGCACGAGGGGTCAGCCGGCCACTGGCATGCAGGGGAATACAGGTATCCGAGAGGCCCTCACTGAAGCTGGGGGTGGGGGAGTCTGAGGCAGGCAGAGCTGACACGGAGACGGAGCGTGGGCCCTGGGCACTGTTGCCTGCTCTGCCCATCTGGGAGCTCCCCAGGGGCCAGGGCAGGCTGGCTGGTGAGAGAGTGTCCGTGGAAGGCCCCGAGCCACTTTCCCGCCGTGCATCCAACGAACTCCAACTGGAGTCCTCCTTATGTTCCCCTCCTGTGGACCAAGACGTGAAGTCACAGATGGTCGGGGCTGGAAGGCATTCACAAGGAGATGGCCAGGAGCCAGAGATGTTCAACACCTGGTGTGAGGCTGCACTGTTTCTTAAGGGAAGGCTTCAACTACCAACCTTTACCTGGTTTATAAAGGCTTCTCACTCATGCGCACACATTATGTAGCCAACCACGAGGCCCTCGGTGCAGATACTACCACAGGATGCGCATCCCTAATCTGAAAATCCAAAATCCAAAATGCTCCAAAACTTGGGAATTTCTGAGCATCGACATGACACTCACAGGAAATGCTCATGGGAGCACCCCGGATTTCGGGATGGGGAATGCTAAACAAGTAGGCATAGTGCAAATGCTCCAAAATCTAAAAAAACCCAGAATCTAAAATGCTTCTCATCCTAAGCATTTCAAATAGGGGATACTCAACCTGTATTTCTGTTTCATAGAGAAGGAAGCAGAGCTCAGAGAGGAACTGGCTCGTGCAGGGCTCTTAAGGGCAGGTCTTGGGGGAGCAATCTAGGAAACCCACCCCAAAAGTGGGTGACCTCAGAAACTGAAGGGGTGACCAATCTTTAGGAGTTAGGAAAGGGAAGCTGGGTGTGTGAAGGAAGGAAAAACTCCACTTTAAGAAAATTCAAACATTGGGACAAGGGGTTGTTCTGAGCATCCAACAGCAAAGTGCCCCAGGGCTTGTGAAAAAAGATCCAGGAAGAAAGGGACCAACAGCCACTTTTTTCTATGCCAGCCTTTGAGTGACTGTGGGCTGTCCCTACCATGACCCTCTGCCTGAGGCCCCTGAGGCTTGTGTGGCTTTGTGGGGCTTGAGCTCCAGCCATTCAAGCACATGCTGGATGCTGGGTGGAAAGGCCTAAGAAGACCCATCCTTGTGCTTGAAGAGTCGAATGGGCGTGACAGGCACATAACACAGTATGTATGCTCTGTGCCAGGACAGAGACACACAGGGGGCTCTGCAGAGGAGCAGACCCTAAATGAGCTGTGGGGGTGGAGAGAGGGAGTGTGCCAGGGAAGGTTTCCCAGAGGAGGTGGCACCTGGGCTAAGTCAACTATGGAAGAAGGTGGAGAAGGAGCCCCAGGCAGAGGGAACAACATATGGGAAGGTAAGGGCATATGGCACCTTCTGGTCACTACAAAGGGTTTTGTGTGCTGTCAGAGGTAAGGACAAGCTGGGGAGAGGCAAGGGATGAAGTTGGAGGGGTCAGCCCAGTGGGGCCAGATCAGGAAGGGCCTTGAATGTCTTGCTAAGAACTTTAAATCTCATACTGAATTGTAATCCCGATGTTGGAGGTGGGGGCTGGTGGGAGGTGACTGGATCATGGGCGTGGTTTCTCATGACTGTTTTAGCACCATCCTCTTGGCTTGGTGCTGTTCTCGTGAGAGTGAGTTTAAAAATGTGTAGCACCTCCCTGCCCCCCCTCGCTCTTGCTCTTGCTCCTACCCTGTGGGACGCCTCACTCCCCTTTGCCTTCCGCCATGCCTGGAAGCTTCCCGATGCCGCTCCAGAACCAGAAGCCGCTATGCTTCCTGGAGAGCCTGTAGAACCATGAGCCAAGTAAAGCTCTTTTTAAAATAAATTATCCAGTCCTGCAGATCACCAGGTCAGGAGTTCGAGACCATTCTGGCCAACATGGCAAAACCCCATCTCTACTAAAAATACAAAAATTAACCAGGTGTGGTGGTGCATACTGGCAGTCCCAGCTACTTGGGAGGCTGAGGCACAAGAATCACTTGAATCCGGGAGGCAGAGATTACAGTGAGCCGAGATCGTGCCACTGCACTCCAGGCCGTCTCATAAATAAATAAATAAATAAATAACCAACCCAGCCTCAGGTATTTCTTTACAGCCTGCGAGAAGGGACTGATGCACCTGTGTTGCACAAGCCTGCCCTGCCTCCCTCCTCCCTCCGGCAATGCCTGTTCTTCTCCCCAGTGTACAGTGGAGGTCACTGAGACTTGGGGAGGTCACAGACACTGCCCAAGGCCAGACATTTAAGAAAGTGGTGGGATGGGAATTGAAAAGTTCGGTCTCAGCACCATGCTCCCCGCCGCACCCCCCACGATGCTACTGATTCTGAATAACCTACAGCGGAACAGCTGTGGGAGGTAACAAGTTCCCCATCATCAGAGGTGGTCAAGCCACTTATCAAAAATGGGGGGAAGAATTAGCCTTCCCAATTCACAAGTTTCTTTGTACATCCCATCCCCTCTTCAAACACCCTTCCTCCCACCTGACTGCAGTGACCTTCCATTCAGGAACCGACCGGACAGGAGCTGCTCAGTCCCTGTGCTCCCATACCACTTGCTCCTTATGAGCTGTAGCCATGACTAACACTGTAGCTCATAGACTGGCCTACTGGAGGCACCAACCAGGTTTCTTGTTGAGCAGATGAAAGAATGAATTTCATGAATCTATGAGCAAGCCCGCCACCAAAGGAAACAAGCCCCAAATTTGCAAGTTGCCTATTTAATCACCACTGCTCTTGGGCCCACTTGAGGACGGCCAGTGGGTCCTAATGTGTGCACTGACACCAGCTGATTGGCAGTGGCTGCTTGAGAATGACACTAGAGTCACTACAGAAGCATCTGTGGGTTAGTGATATCTTCCTCGGGTGAAGGACTGGGATGATCAGCAGGAATGTTCACCTCCTATTCACCAGCACAGACAACCATCCTTCACTCACTTTTTTTTTTTTTTTTTTTTGGGTGTGACAGGGTCTGGCTCTGTTACCAAAGCTGGAGTGCAGTGGTACGATCTTGGCTCACTGCAACCCCTATCTCCCAGGCTCAAGCCATGCTCCTACCTCAGCTTCCTGAGTAGCTGGGATTACAGGCACACACAACCACTGTTTGCTAATTTTTGTATTTTTTGTAGAGATGGGGTTTTGCCATGTTGCCCAGGGTGGTCTTGAACTACTGAGCTCAAGCAATCAGCCTGCCTCCGCCTCCCAAATGCTGAGATTACAGGCCTGGGCCACCATGCCCAGCTGCTCACTCACCTTTCTTTAGACCAGAGATTGCAAAGGAAATGACTTCAACACTTTCTATCACCTCATAGGCCTCACACTGAAAAGAACATCTAATACATGCCAGGCTCTGGTTTGAGGACTTACGTTAACTCATTTCCTCTTCACAACAACCCTGAGAGAGGTGTTGTTATCACTGCCATTTTCCAGATGAGGAAACTGAGGCACAGTGAGGTAAAGTAACTCAGCAAGGTCCCAAAGGTTCTAAGTGGCCAAGCAGAGTGCTGGGCCCAGACAGGGCCCAGGCGGTCTGATTCCATAGCCCATCCGTACTGTGACTAGACTGCTCTCACCAAGCCCCAAGGGGGTGCAATGAAGATGCTGTGATGCATGATCTGACGGGATCACTGGTATCCAGCGGATCCCAGCAGGTGCCTGTGAAGTGCAGCCAGCACTGGGCAGATGAAAGGCCTATGTCCTGGACTGTGATGGGGCCAGAACTCTGCTGGGACTTAGCTGAGAACTCTCAGAACTTAGCTGAGACTAAATGAGAGAGAAGAAACCTAGAAAATGCTTCTTCTTCAGGGGCCTCCTCTAGGGCCTGCTGGAAAAAGCACCCTCTGAACAAGAAACCTGAGTTCAAAGCCCAGCTCTGCTCCATGCCAGGTGTGAGGCCCCAGATGATTCATCCAACACCTCCAGTGGTCACAGAGGTCTCAGCTACAAAACGAGCTCAGCACCACCTCTTACAATGGTGTGGCCACGATATGTGTGTCACACGCCTGGCACAGAGTAGATGCATAAATTAGTGGTCTCCCTCCCTTGGCATCTAGGACAAGTGGACAGCAGCCTTCATGACACAAATAGGTCACTACCACTTAAAAGCTGACTCTTTCACAATTCTTTAAAATCCAGACATGAAGAGGAAGGAAAGAAGGGCTGACAAATTACCCCCAAAGATCTCAGCTTGGGTGGCAAGCATGGGGACAAACCAATCGCCATGATAGCCCAAGGTTCAAATCCTGGCTCCGTCACCGACTGCTGTATGCCCTTACCCAAGCCCCTTCCCTCTCTGGGCTCAGTCTCCTCCTGTAATATGTGGGACCAAAAACATCAGCCACATCTCTGTTGTGTTGATTTTCAGCAGCTGCCAGGAGACCTAACAGGTCAAGATTTTCTGAATTGAGTGCAACTTTCTACACTGTGCCGTGTTCAGAGGACTTGATACAATGAGGGCAGAGAAGAAATTAAGTCCGATCCTCTCTGGGAAGAAAAAAACCAGGCAGAATACAAACCTCAGTGCCTTCCTTAAGCCTCAGGCAGACGGAGATAAGACAGGGGCCTCAGATAATTAAAAAGCAGGCCTGATTTCATTCATGAGGCATATTTTAATGCCTTATCTATGTGGTAGTGGGAGCATTAAGTCAGGCATTTGAAGCTGTTTCCAAGGCAAGATTTAGAAAGCCTGTGAATAATTCCCAAGGACCTCGTGGCAAGGCCAGGATTACACACTTTGCCTGGGACAGCCACATACAAACTCCCAGCTAAAGAGCCATAGAGTTTCCCTAATCACCCTTGGCTCAGGCCCACATCAGCGTGTGCCTTCTGAGCACAGAACCCAGCCAGCAATGGGGACAGGAGAAGGCGGGGAGAGCGCTGGGGGCTGGAATGTGGGAAGCTGGCAGAGGGTACACAGAGCCCTCCACAGAGAGGAAATCATGCCAGGCCAGCCCAGCAGATAGGCTTGGGATTTCTAAGCATGGCTGAAGCCCCCTCAGATTTGGCCAGGCCAGCCCCAGCAGGACCCAGAGCCCTGAGGACCCTGGGAGAGCTTCTTAGGAGGCTGTGAACATCCAACCCTGGCTTTCCAGGCTGCCCCAGAAACCCTGGGCCACGCTTGCCCCACTCCATCACCCACCATGGTGAAGGCCACAGCCCCCAGGGCACCAGGCCAAGCAAGGGAGAGGGTGGCAGGCCCCACGTACCCAGGCCTGTCACCTTCCGCAGGCAGGTGAGGGCATACTGCAGACGACCACACTCATCCCCGCTGGCCCCGCAGCGCCGCAGCGTCTCCTTCACCTTGGCCTCGTTCATCTCCAGCAGGGCATCCAGCGTGAGGTCGTGGGGGATCTCCTGAGGGGACAGAGGGACAGGCAGAGAGGCGGTGAGCAGTCAGCCGGGCCGGGAGCCCCTCAGCCTCAGGCTGGCCTCCTGCTGAGTGGCAGGGGCCAGCTGCTGGCTGGGCCGGCCTCTGACCAGAGCCACCACGTGCTTGGGGACACAGGCAGAGCTCCCTGGCCCCCACCCTCCAGGCTCCCAGAGACAGCAGCTGAAGCAGACTTGGTGGGGGGTGAGGGGAAGAAGTAAAGACCAGAAAGGTTCGGACGAGGGCATGTTGCCCAGCTTGTTTCTTCTTACTCCTCTGCACAGAAAAAACAAAACAAAATAGTGAATCATAACAACTTTTTAGGATGACGAGTACTTCAGACAAAGATGGCCCTTCACAGTTTTGTTGTATCTGAATCAGACAAGAGAGATTTCAAATCAAACTGGCTTAAGAAAGGAAGGCTTTTAAAAAAAAACCCTCGCCAAACACTGCGGAGGCACTAACTGCCCCACCTGATTTCCGTCAAAACTTTTCACTGGGTCCACTGGACAGCTGGAAAAACAGGCTCAGACAGATTATGTCACCTGCATGAGGTCACTAGGCCACACGGTGAAGAAAGTGGCAGGCAGAATTTTAAGGTGGTCCTGTGACCTTCGTTCTGTGGTGTTGCTCCTGATCATTTTACATTACAGCAGTCTCTCTCTTATCTGCAGTTTCAGTTATCAGCAGCCAACCATGGCCTAAAACTATTGAATGGAAAATGCCAGAAACATTCCAGAAATCAACAATTTATAGTTTTAAACTATGCACCATTCTGAGTAATGTGATGAAATCTTGCGCCATCCAGCTCCGTCCCACCGGAGGCGTGAATTGTCCCTTTGTTCAGCATCTCCACACTGTCTCCACTCCTAGCCTGTTGGTCACTTAGGAGCTGTCTTGGTTATCAGATCAACTGCCACGACCTCTTCCCACACAGGCACTTTATCATCTCACATCATCACAACATGAGGGGTGAGAACAGTACAGAAAGTAAGGTATTTTGAGAGAAAGAAGAGAGACCACATTCCTGTAACTTTCATTATAGTATATTGCTATAATTGCTCTATTTTGTTATTGTTGATTATTAATCTCTTACTGTGCCAACTTACTAACTTTATCAGAGGTATGTATGTGTAGCAAAAAACATAGTGTATATACACACACACACTCTCTCTCTCACACACACACACACACACACAAACACACACAGTAGTATCCATGGTTTCAGGCATCCACTGAGGGTCCTGGAACATATCCCCTGCAGATAAGGGGGGATTTACTATATACAGCAAAAGGGAAATTACCCAAGTAGGCTTCATCCAATCACAAGAGCCCTTTAAAAGCAAAGGGTTCTCTTGAGCTGGTAACAGAGAAGTCAGAGACCTGAAGTGTGAAAAGGACTCAGCAGACTTTGAAGTAGGAGGGGAATGGGGGTGGCCTCTGGGAAAAAGAGTAGCCCCTGGCTCACAGCCATTGAGGGAATGAGGACCTCAGACCTCCAGCCACAAGGAAATGGATTCTGCCAATAACCTGAATGAACGTGAAGTGGATTCTTCCCCAGAACTTCCAGGTAAGAGGAAGGCCTGGCCTACACCGTGACCTCAGCCTTGTGAGATCCTAAGTAGGGATGTAAGCAGAGTCTGCCTGGATTCCTCCACCTAGAGAACCATGAGCTGATAAGCGGGTGGTGTGTTAAGCTGCTAAATTTGTTATGAAGCAATGGAAAATACAAAGATTGAATGTTTGAATCAAGGCTGAGCGGACTTCAAAACTTGTGCCCTTTCCTCTCTTCAAGGAGGGAGGAAACCTCTCCAGCTCTGACTACTTTGAGCCACATGCCGCTGTCAGAGGCATTTGAACCAGAGCCATTCCATCTTGAATAGGGACTGGGTAAAATGAGGGCGAGACCTGCTGCGCTGCATCCCCAGGAAGTCAGCCATTCTTAATCACAGGGTGAGACAGGAGGTCACAAGAGACAGGTCACAAAGACCCCATGATAAAACAGGATGAGCTAAAGAAGCTGGCCAAAACCCACCAAAACCAAGATGGTGACCAAAGTGACCTCTGGTCTTCCTCACTGCTCATTATATGCTAATTATAATGCACTAACATGCTAAAAGACACTCCCACCAGCACCATGACAGTTTACAAATGCCATGGCAATGCCCAGAAGTTACCCTATATGGTCTAAAAAGGGGGAGGGGCCCTCAGTTCCAGGAATTGCCTGCCCCTTTCCCAGAAAATTCACAAATAATCTACCCTGGTTTAGCATATGATCAAGAAATAACCATGAAAATAGCCAACTAGCAGAGGGCTGCTCTGCCTACAGAGTTGCCATTCTTTTGTTTCTCCACTTCTCTAATAAACTTGCCTTCACTTTAGTCCATGGACTCACCCAGGATTCTTTTTTGTGCAAGACTCAAGAACCCTCTTTTGGGATCTGGAATGGGACCCCTATCCAGCAACAATACCAAGCCTGGGACAAATATCAAAAACCAATGGGACATGCCTCTGGTCTCAAGTGGCCTGCAGCCAAGTGAGAGGGGTGACAGACATTTAAACAGGTAACTACAATGCAGTAAGATGCGCACTAGAGCAGGGAGAGTTCAAAGAGCTATGGGACCAGATCAGACTTTTTTTTTTTTTTTTTTTTTCTTTAACCCTATGTTTTTTTTTTTTTTTTTTTTTTTTTTTTTTTTTTTTTGTTTGAGACGGAGTCTCGCTCTGTCGCCCAGGCTGGAGTGCTGGGATCATAGGCGTGAGTCATTGCGCCTGGCATGGCTACTAACCACCATGTTTTTTTTTTTTTTTTTTTGTCTTTAACCCTTTCTATATTTTCTAGATTTTCTATAACAGAGAAGGTCAGACATTCCACATCAAATGACTGCTATAAAGCTCACAGTTCTTGAGAATCTAAGCCAATTTACAATGATTTTTAGCAAGTTGTGTCTAACTTTACTTTTAAGGACTAATTTCATTGTCATTCCATTTACATGCTGTAATTCTTTGCCTCAAGCGTCAAAACTAACCCTGATGAAGATACTGGCTGAGTCCTAAGGGTATGAGGCCCAGCCCATAACCCTCTCTCCCATAGCATGGCTGGAGCTAGAGGCCTGGCTTTTTGTTTTCGTTTGTTCGCTTTTTACTGTACCCGCTGATGGCAGATGCTTTTATAGTTTGTTAGTATATTCTTTAATCTTGAGGGCTGTAGGCAAGAATCACATCACCATTTAGAAGGATTCACACCAAAACAAAACCAGACATATAACTGTACCAAGAAGCTCATCACTGGTTGGCCAAAGCCCTGGTTGCCTTCCAGAAGATAAAACTAAAGTGTCACAGGAAACCACTGATGAGATGAGAACAGCACCAACAGGGGAGGCAGATTAGACAAATGGTGCCATGCAGAAGCTTCTATTCAATCAACGTGTCTTGCTTTCTTTCCCTTAGCCTGTCTTCCACTGAAATGAGGTTTGGATATCTTTGCCCTCATTTGACTGTGAAGAGCACCTTGGCAATACCGTCAGGGCAAGCACAAAAGCGACCTTCACCTTATCTGAACAAAGCAATCCTCTACTTCTCTGGAAGGGTGTCCTCCGTTTGTTTCTCCACCACATACTCCAAGGCTGTGATGACTCAGTAGTTTCCCCAGAAGATGACAGAGATGTTTAATGGGGGCGGAGAGGGAGCCAGGCCGAGGAAACCCAATCTTCAACCTAACTATAATACAAACAGAGATTCTTTTTCTTTTTATTCCTCTCCTCCTCACCTATACCAAGTTTCAAGTTCTCAAACATAATAACTACATTTATTATTACAAACTATTTGCCAGAACAGTATACCCGGGGCTTTGTATATGTTACTTTATCTTTAATCAACTCAGCAAGTAGATGGAGTTAAGTCCATCTTATTGAGGCTCAGAGACTTCACAGCTTAACAAGTGGCTGGGCAGAATTGAAACCCACATGTGCACGATTCCAAACCTCCTCCAAATATTCCATGCTGTCGCTTGTTAACCTGGCAAAGACTTGGGATACAGCAGCCACCTTTCAGGGGAAATTATTTTTTTCCAAGTAAATTAATTTCTACCTACTTTCAGAAAATAGAAGTGAGGTACAGAAACAGCTGGCTTGGTTACAGCTCCTTTGCCTTGTGTGAACAAGGTTCGAACAGTTGGCTACATTTGATTGGCTAAAACTCGGTGATGGGCACAAGTGTAGTCTACAGTGTTTTTATACCTCCACTTGTTATAGTTCATGATATACAGAAAAACCTTTAGGCTGAACTTAAAATATCTAAGGAGGCAGCTCTAGGCTAAACTTGATTTAACACACTTCTCTGCCTTTTTACTGGATAAGAAACCCAATGGCAGCAATAGCAATACTAAACAGAAACTCCCCGCTTCCCTCCCTTGGTGTTGGGGAAAGGGGCAAGCAATGGAGGGGCACCAGACCTTCTGGTTTTAAAGAAATATGAATTTTCATTTTTAAAGGGCTAGCTTTTACATGGTGATAACTAATTCAAATCTGTGCAAACAAAACAAATTATGTCCATGAGGAACATGGGGTGGAGGAACATGCGGGGACCCTATGGGAAGAATCTGATGCCTTCCAAGGTTAATCTGATCAGTGAGTTATGTCTAAAACTGTATTTCTGTAGGTAAACAGGGAAGGATGCTGGCCCAGTAGCAAGTACTCCAGGGGCTCGGCTTTCTCAGTGAGGGGCCCACCCTGGAAACAAAGTGCCCGGCCTCCCATCTCTACAACTGACTTTGAGACCCAATGTTAACTTAATCAAGAAAGGAAAGCTACTAGGAAGGTCTCGTGGCTGTGAAAGCCCCTGTGAGGGGCCCTGATATCTCCCAGTATCATGACTCAACAGTGCTCCAAAGCAGCTCAGCACCCCTGAAACCTCAAACATGGATATGACTCGCTCACCCACAGTGATAGGCATAGCCAAGTCTGATTTAGGAAGATGTTTCAAAGCA